ATATATTGCAAAGAAATTTGGGATAGAACCAGAAAAGTTGTGTGAACCCTTTGAAGTGTCCACTCCGGTTGGAGAATCAGTTATAGCAAGGTTTATCTATAGGGGATGTCCAGTCAAAGTGCATCATCGCCTTACTCTAGCAGACTTAGTAGAATTGGAGATGGTCGACTTCGATGTGATCATGGGCATGGATTGGTTAGAGTCCTGTTATGCCACAGTGGGTTGTAGAACCAAAATAGTAAGTTTTGAATTTCCTGGTGAACCAGTCTTAGAATGGAAGGGTGATGTAGTAGCACCTAGGGGTAGGTTTATTTCCTATCTTAAAGCCAGAAAGATGATCTCCAAGGGATATATCTATCACCTGGTTCGAGTTAAGGATGCAGATGCTCAGATCCCCACTCTCCAGTCGGTACCAATTGTAAATAAGTTTCCAGAAGTGTTTCCCGAAGATCTCCCTGGAGTCCCTCCCGATAGAGAGATTGACTTTGGAATTGATCTACTTCCAGGCACTAAGCCGATATCTATTCCGCCTTATAGAATGGCTCCAGCAGAGTTAAAAGAGTTAAAAGTCCAGCTGAAAGATCTTCTAGATAAGGGATTTATAAGGCCAAGTGTCTCACCTTGGGGCGCACCGGTCTTGTTTGTCCGAAAGAAGGATGGGTCTTTGCGTATGTGCATTGACTATCGTCAGTTGAATAAAGTCACCATCAAGAACAAGTACCCTCTTCCCAGGATAGACGATTTATTTGATCAACTTCAGGGTGCCCAGTGTTATTCCAAGATTGACCTCAGATCGGGATACCATCAGTTGAAGGTTAAGGAAGTTGATATTCCAAAAATAGCTTTTAGGACTCGATATGGGCATTTCGAATTTTTTGTAATGTCATTTGGTTTAACGAATGCACCAGCAGCTTTCATGGACCTTATGAATAGGGTCTTCAAGCCTTATCTTGATTTGTTTGTTATCGTGTTTATTGATGACATCTTGATTTTATTTCCCCGTAGCGAGACTGACCATACAGACATCTCAGATTGTGTTGCAGACCTGCAGGATCACAAGCTATATGTAAAATTTTCTAAGTGTGAATTCTGGTTGAAATCAGTAGCGTTTTTGGGCCATGTCATCTCAGGGGAAGGCGTGAAGGTGGACTCTCAGAAATAGAGGCAGTGAAAAATTAGCCTAGATCCACCTCAGTATCCGATATAAGAAGTTTCTTGGGTTTAGCAGGCTATTATAGGCATTTCGTAGAGGGATTTTCTTCTATCTCGTCCCCTTTGACTAGATTAACTCAGAAGAAAGTCAAGTTTCAATGGTCGGACGCGTGCGAGAAGAGTTTTGAGGAGTTAAAGAAGAGGTTGACTTCAGCTCCAGTCCTGACACTACCGGAAGGAACCGAGGGGTTCGTTGTTTATTGTGATGCTTCAGGGGTTGGTCTTGGGTGTGTATTAATGCAGCATGGTAAAGTCATAGCCTACGCGTCGAGACAACTCAAGGCTCACAAGAAGAATTATCCGACTCATGACCTTGAATTAGCAATTGTGGTGTTCGCGCTTAAGATCTGGCGCCATTATTTGTATGGGGTACATGTTGACATTTTTACAGATCACAAGAGTCTCCAGTACATCTTCAAGCAAATGGAATTAAATCTACGTCAGAGAAGGTGGCTCGATTTACTTAAAGATTATGATGTTGATATCCTCTATCATCCGGGGAAAGAAAATGTTGTAGCCGATGCTCTCAGTCGGCATTCTATGCGCAACTTAGCTCACGTTGAGACAGACAAGCGAACTATGATGAAGGAAGTACACCGCTTAGCAAGCCTAGGAGTTCGACTTCTGGACTTTGAAGATGGCGGTGTTGTTCTCCAGAACAGGGCTGAATCCTCCTTAGTAACCGAAGTAAAAGAAACACAGTTCAGTGATCCCTACTTATTGCAGCTGAAGGAAGGAATTCACAAACAGAAGACTATGGCTTTTGAACAAGGGGGAGATGATGGTACTTTGAGATGCAGAGGCAGACTATGCGTTCCAGACGTAGATGGGCTCAGAGAGCGGATTATGTCAGAAGCCCACAATTCCAGGTATTCTATTCACCCAGGTTCCACAAAGATGTATCATGATCTTAAGGAGGTTTATTGGTGGAACGATATGAAAAAGAATATAGCAGATTTCGTGGCGAAGTGTCCAAATTGTCAGCAGGTGAAAGTCGAACACCAGAGACCAGGCGGTTTAACTCAGAATATAGAAATTCCCATTTGGAAATGGGAGATGATAAACATGGACTTCATAACAGGTCTACCTCGCTCGTTCCGGAAGCATGATTCGATTTGGGTGATTGTAGACCGACTTACCAAATCAGCCCACTTCTTGCCAGTGAAGACTACAGATTCGGCTGAGGATTATGCCAAGTTGTATATCAAAGAAATTGTCCGATTGCATGGGACTCCTTTGTCCATTATCTCAGATCGTGGTGCCCAGTTCACAGCGAACTTTTGGAAATCCTTTCAAAAGGGACTGGGCACAAGGGTGAACCTTAGCACTGCTTTTCATCCTCAGAGAGATGGCCAGGCGGAGCGCACCATTCAGACTCTTGAGGATATGTTGAGGGCGTGTGTTATTGATTTTAAAGGTAATTGGGACGATTATCTACCTCTCATTGAGTTTGCTTACAATAACAGCTATCACTCTAGTATCAAGATGCCACAGTACGAAGCTCTGTATGGGCGAAGGTGTAGATCACCAATTGGTTAGTTCGAAGTCGGAGAAGCGGAGTTGTTAGGACCCGATTTGGTCTATCAGGCTATGGAGAAAGTCAACTTGATACAAAGGCATTTAAAGACGGCTCAAAGTCGCCAAAAGTCCTATTCGGACGTACGGCGTAGAGACTTAGAGTTCCAAGTTGATGATTGGGTGTTTTTGAAAGTATCGCCCATGAAAGGCGTTATGAGATTTGGGAAGAAGGGGAAACTTAGTCCCCGCTATATTGGTCCATATAGAATCCTGCGAAGGATCGGACAGGTGGCTTATGAGTTAGAATTGCCACAAGAACTAGTTGCTGTACACCCAGTGTTTCATATTTCCATGTTGAAGAAATTCATGGGAGACCCGTCACTTGTGGTTCCGACAGAGGTTATAGGGGTTAAAGACAGCCTATCTTATGAAGAAATTCCAGTGGCTATTCTTGATCGTCAAATTTGCAAGCTCAAAACTAAGGAAATTGCTTCAGTAAAAGTGCTTTGGAGGAATCAAAGGATTGAAGAGGCTACATGGGAAGCCGAGGAGGACATGAAGTCCAGATATCCCCATCTCTTTGAAGGGCAAAAAGGAAAATGTGGAAGGTAATTGACCTTTCCATTCAGTTCTTATATTATAATCTCCATGTTCTTCAGTATTTACTCAGCTTAGTATTTAGTGATCACGTGCTCGTTCAGTTTGATATACATGTATTCATGATATTTCAGTATTCTCATATCTCCATCACACCCGTTTAATGTCCATAGATAGACGTAGTTGCATCCAGGGCCATCATTCGAGGACGAATGATCCCAA